GATTGAAAGTTTGATTAGTTAAAGGACTTCGAATAATTGAAGACTTGGTTTTGGAGTTTTGGTGGAGAAAATGTTGCCTCAATTTAGCCGTTAGCTTTGGGGCTCAAGTATATTGGGGGTGAAAAGGGAACAAAGAGCCGTGCTCTACTGATTCCAGCGTTTCACTCGAGTGGCTGAGCATTGCCTGCCTGGCGCTCGAGTAACGGTGTTATCGATGCGGGAATCATTTTTCAATTTTGACTTGCTTCTTGAATTGTATTTCATCCAAAACGCTTGTAATGAGTTCCTATAAATATACCCCATGTGGTGTAGGCTCTTAAGAGCCTCAAACATAATAATTAGATAATTGGTGTACACATTAGAAACTTGAGAGAATTTTTAAATTTAGATTGAGAGTATTAAATCTTGTAAACACAATTTTAATTTCATAGTATATTGATATTCTCGTCGTCTTCCACATTAAATCTTATGTTCTTGTGTGATTATTTTCATGTTACCATATTTTCTCAAATTTAATATTCATAGCAGTATAAGTTTTATTATCGGGTTATTGTAAATTGGCTTATTTTACAACAAGTGGTATCCATGCCGGTGTAGACTTGATGATGTCTTGAAGTAGTCCAAGATAAATTTGACTCATATTTCATAAATTCTCTATTATTGATTTTACCAATTGTATTGAAATTTCACCTTATATTAAACTCTTAATGTATTAATTCTCCTAATATATTAGGGATTCTTTGGTTATATATATGTAGTGTACAGCACATATTTGAATTGACTAATTGTCCAATTAGTTATTGGTCAAAGGAGATCTTTTGCAACTCCTTATTATTGATTATAGTGAACTCCACCTCTGCTCGTGGTTTTCCCTGATTTAAATTTCCACGTAAATATTGTTTTCTTTGTAATCTATTATTTTCATTGGAAACAAACAGGATTAAAAACATGGAACTATGTTTTATGGTCGTACTCCTCGTTGATGAATTTCCTCGTCGCTGTCTTTCCTACTTTTATTTTGCGCGAAATTAAATTAACAATATCTGGTCCCCAAACTCCAGTTAATTAATATTTTCCTCACATAATGTTCCTGCGTTTTGTGTCACCCTAAATTGTTGTACAGGTCGTCATTTCAGTAATCTTTACATAAATTTGGGAGTATATCCTTGAGGGAAATCAAGAAAGGCATTTTCATGCCCTCCTCCACTGCCCACAAAAAAAAAAAATTGTAGTACATTCAAGAAACTGAAAATATATATGTTGTTCTATCATGGATTTTTGCATTAATGGAGAAATAAGAACCTAGAACCCAATGAATGTATGATTAAAAAGTAGATAAAA